GCTTTTGAACATGAATGTCCTATACATGACCTTTGTTTCTACCCTATTGTTACTAACTCCTACTAATCAGTAAAAATTCTTGCTTCTCCAACATCACCCCTCCACACATTTACCTAACTTGCCCCTTTCCAGTGTTCTATATGTCAGAATAGTGTTCCATCATTTCTGTGGAGAATCAGATCTCAAAAGTATGAGTCAACCTAGATTCTTTTGCTAGGGAATCTAGTCAGCCTAGATTCAGTAAACTTCCAATTCATCAGCAGATCCTCTCGACTTTGCTATCATATTTTCTCCCATAGCGTAACTATTTACTGTGTCTCTACTGATGTCTATTTGGTCAAATTATGTACTGCCTGGACTTCCACAGTAACCTCTTAAGTAATTTGATTTCCATCTCTGCCCCCTGACAGGTCATCCTCTGAATGGTACCAGAGTTATAAATGTAGGCCAAGTCACGATACTCCTCTGTTCAAAACCCTTAAGTGACTGCCTCTTGTTTTTAGAATAATATACCCGACCTGACCTAGTCCCTGTCTGTTTTTACCAAAAAATCACTTTATCCTTCCCTTCATCTTGTGCTCATACTTGGGTCTCTAATCTCTTTCTCCTTTAAGAGGTGATTACTACCCCATTCCTTCTTTCTGAACTGTTCTCTGTCCACATCTTTTGGCGTCATCTTTTACCATCTGATTCCTTTTCCTATTTCATGTCTTAGTTCAAATGTCTCTTCTTCAGAAATAATTTCCCCTGACCAGATCCAGCTCTAAAATAGCAACTTGTCCTTTTTCCTATCAAATCATTTAGGTAGTTTCCTTAGAGCCTTTATTAAAACCTGTGATTGTTTTAATTATTTGTCTTTTTATGAACCACTATCTCCTATTTACCCCAAATAAATATAATTTTGTCCTTTTTCTTCATTATTCAGCCTCCAATGCCTCACACAATGTTCTGAACATGACAGATATTAAATAAATGTTTGCTTAATGGCTAAATGAAAGGCTTCCCTGAATACCATCTAACTCAGGAGGATTTTTTCTTCTCACAGGCAAAATCTTTACCTGGATTTTCAGTGTGTGTTGGTATCATAACTTACATCTTCTGGTGAGATGCCAATATTCATAAGCATATTTAATTTTCTTTATTAGATTTTGAGGACATCATCTGTGTGCCTAATTCACCTTTGAGTCTCCCGGAGTGACTATCCCCATATCTTTGCACATGGTAAATATCCAATAATACTTCATGATAACATAAACAAAAAATTATCATCTCACTGTGGATTTCACTGAGGAGAGTTTAACCCCAAAGTGAAACTAAACAAATGATTTTCATTTTTTTTCTCCATTCTTTCTTTCCCCTTCCCTTTTGTTTCTCTTCTCTTCTCCTTTCTTGTGATTTCTTTGTCTTGGCTGTCTATCTTTCACAGACTAAACTTATAGAATAGTTTTGGTATTTATTCCTTAGACTACATATTTGTGTGCTGTGCTGTGAATATTATTGTCTCTAACTAGGCTCTATAATTCCACCAAATCACACAGCTAAGTTCAGAACCCAAATCCCTGCATTTGCTGCCATTACTAGAATGTTCATGGCCACTGCTTTCCATTGTTGTTATCTCTTAGCATGTGTTTATTTTCCATATTCTTAATTTTGTAGGTTGCCTATAGCTATCCTCTCATTAGTATTTTGTTTCAAAAACACCAAAGATGGATTAAAACAGCTGTGAAGTTCCAAAGGGATGTGAACAGTGTCCTTTCCCCCAGGTCTTGTTCCTCAAGACTCTTATACTGGTGTACTAGGCACTCCAGGTCTTCACCTTCATTGTTTGTAAAGAAAGGGAGAACTTGGCCCTCCCTGGTGGTACAGTGGGTTAGGACGAAGCACTGCAAGCTAGTGGCAAATGCTTCAGTGCTAGTTTGATCCCCAGTCCAGGAGGTGACCCACATGGCGTGGCAGACCTCTCCTGACTTGCCCCCTGCTCCCCTCAGCAGTGTACTTTGTCAATCTGCCTGTTCTCCCCACTCTGTCTCTGGTGAATCCTCTCACCCCCCTTGCACCTTTGCCCTGTACCCCAGTTCTGTATGCATAAATAAAGCTTTTTTAAAAAGAAAGGGAGAACTGCTCTAGGCATCTCTTTTAACAAAAATTGGACATATGTAGAGTTATGGAAGTTATGGCATTGGAGAGTTGGTAGAAATTCAGGTGGTTTAGGGAGTGACTGACTTTCACATTTGGAAGTGGGTTTCCTGGATTGAGACTTGATTGACTGAATTTCCAAAATTAAATGACTACAAAAAAGAAAGAGCATAGAAATAGAATGACAGCATTAAAAAGAATGGAGAAGAGCAGGACTTAGGGTTTGCTCTGCTACAGTGTCTTTTAATAAGCCAGCGACTATTAACTCAGCTTTGCCTGCTTGATCCTGCTGTAGGTTTATCTTTCAATTTCTACTGCTTCTTCTAGAATTGTGCTTAATTAGGTCCAGTAACCTACAGGGACTTCTCAGAAGGGAAATAGCATTGAAGGAACCAGGGAGGTCTTCTTTAATAGCAGCAAATGTTTGTGGAACTCCTACACACTTCCAGGTACTTTCTGCATGCCACAGAAATCTGAGTGAAATCAACAGACTTAAGCTCATGCTCTCATGGAGAGACAGATATTTGTACAAAGAAATGAATACATACATATTTGCTATCACAGCCATCACAACTCTGAGTCAAATAAAACAGAAAAGGGTGGTGGGTGATAGAAGTGGTTGCAGTTTTAAGTAGGTAGCCAAGAAAGGCATTGCTGAGGAATTGGTGATTAAGGACAAAGTTGAAGAACAGTGAAGTGGACAAAGTGCAGGGAACTTAATGAGCTTGGAGGACAGTAACAAAAAGAAATAAGATTTGAGGTCCAGGAGGTAATGGGGCAAGCAGCTATTTTGGAATCTTAAAGGTCTCTATAAGGTCTTTGCTTTTAGTTTGATGAGATGTGGCGTTGCTCCATGGTTTCAGTAGAGGAGTCATGGTTGATTTTTCTTTTCAATGGCATATAGAAGCATTCAGGCTGGAGGCTGGGGTTAGTAGGGAAATGATTGCAGCCTTCTAAATAGTAGGTGATATTAATCTCAGTATTTGAAAGGGATGATGAAGAGCAGGTAGATTCTGTATTTATTCTTCACAGAAGATTCTTCCAGTTGAGACTTTATTATTAACCTCTATAAACTCTAGCAGTTAGTTGGGAAGGCCTAGGTTTCATGACCAGAAGATCATAGCTTGACCTGCTGTGCAGTTTCTAGGATTTTTTCCAACTGTGCAAATAGAAGTGGAAAAAAGTGATAGAAATGAAAGGCATCTATCAATAAAAGAAGTATAATCAATGCAGAATTATGTATGTTTTTAATAGTATTTCTTTCTAGATAATTGTATGAGTTGCGGGGGATTTCTTTAATTGATTGCTGTGAAGAAAAAGATGGTTTTAATTCAGTTTTACTGCTATTCTGGGTGTAAGTGGGTGTTTGACATTTTTTAGTTGCATGTGATATGTGTGTGTGTGTGTGTGTGGAGAGAGAGACACTCTGAGAGGAGTACAGAGTGGCTATTACTCCCTGGGCAATAAAGACCCAAAATCCTACTAATGAGGTTAAAAAAACTTAACTTCTTCTGAGTGCTTAATAATAGCACTTCCACTGACATATCCAGGGTTCCCTGAATAATTGCCCTCTTTTTCAATTTATTTTTAGGACCAAAAAATTGGGGGGAGGAAAAGTGCCTTTAGGTATGGAGCATTTCCATCTAAAAGCTCAATTCCGAAGCTTCAACATTTTGGCCCTAAACCATGTTAAATATGTCCTTTCAAGTGAAAGTGAAGGATGGCACTAAAATGCATTGTTGTAAAGCTGGGTGGTTTAGTTTTCAGTATGAGGAAAAGATATAGTGCCTTTGGTACTTTTAATATAGATTCCATCTTTCTAAGGCTAGGAGATGTTCTCCTCTTTTTTTTAAAAAAACTATTTAAGTTTGCCAGTTAGAGAACTAAAACCATAATTTTTTACCAAAACATTTAACTTTGAGGAGAAGACAGGCTCTACAGCATGATAAACATGAATGCTGTTAATGTGTTCAGTAAGTCTAAAAATATGTGAAATAAATCTAGACCTTGAACCTATTTAAGGCAGATTTTGCAAATGAGGCACAGTGCCTCATTTACTGTAAATTTTTGTGGCTATCTGAGCATCTCTGACATAAAACAAAGAGAGATACGGATCAGAAAACAAGAGTACTGTTGAATCAAACCTTGTGGCACAAATTGGTTGAATATCTGGATTAAGTTGCCAGGATTATTTTCGTGGAGGCCTATTTTGGGTAGGCAGTGACCTTTCTTCCCAGATGCAGATTTCCATATTGGCTTTTAACTTTTAGCCACTGACCAGTAGTCATACAGTCCTGAAAACATTCTGTCCCTTCCTTCTGCTTCTGCCTAAATGGCAAATTTGAGAAGTTGAAAGTCATTCAATGTGGCTTTTCACAAGCCACCATGCTGCCCACTTGATTTCATTCTTTTATCAGTAAAAAAATGGCCAGGGGTTGTATAGAAAGCAGAATTGAGAATATAAAGGGTCTTCCAAGCACAAAATTAAGATTAGTGACATGTTGATATTGCTTCTTAATCTTAAAAGTTTCGCCATAAAAACCATGGCAATCTTCACAAGTTACACAACAGTGTGTGTGCTTAAGAACTAGATATGGGCTGATGTTTACAAAGATCTTTTTGTACACATGCATGGAAGGAAAGAGTTGGATGGGTTGACCGTCACACTCCCTGATGCTAATTACCATGCTGTAGATATGAAAGCCAGAATTCTCATGCCATTTGTCCCCACCAGGAGCTGACATCTGTGCCTCAAATGTATTAAAAAATAGTATGTTATTGAATTCGGGGTGAGATTGCTCTCCCTGTGTGCTTGTGTGCAATCTATTAAGATTTCCTCTCACACATAATCTGTATGCTTCCAGGAAATACAGATCAGGCAGAGATGTTGCCAACTAAGAAGAACGCTATTCTCGTGAATGGAGTTGTACTGAATGGCCCCACTACAGATGTAAAAGCAGGAGAAAAATTTGTTGAAGAGGCCTGCAGACTAATCATGGAAGAGGTGGTTTTGAAGGCTACTGATGTTAATGAGAAGGTAAAAAAGAAAAAAAAAAAAGCCTTATAGAAATGCCAAGAATGGGACAGATCATGTTTTTCCAAATCTGGGGTGGTTCAGTTCTTTCATTTCCTCTATACCTTTGCTTCAACCTGAGGCACAAATACCAAAGTCTGTACCCATCTCCCATCCCTATCCAGTATTTGTTTTTCTTGAAAAGTTGATTGCTTATTTCACCAGTCATCACTGATTAACTGATTCTCTGAGTCTCCATGTATTAGCTAATTAAGGCTGTGAAACATAAGAAGGAAATGTTCTACCCTAGATAATAATGTAGATTATACTTTACCTGGTGATCTGAATATTTGGCCTTTAAAAGACACTTGGCTCTCTGTTTTCTTGTATGCATTCATTATGTTGCTAGTAAAAATTAAGCAGAATGTTGAAGAGTTTGTGAAAAGAGTTAAAATTGATCTGAGGACACAAGATTGTTTAAGCTTAGATAAAGTATTTTAGGTTGTTAAGTCTGACCATTGACTAGAGTACCAGTTACTCGTTCTAGGCCTCACATTCAGGTTCAAATTGATGGTGCATCTACTACTGATCATTCACTATTCAGCGAGGATTCCTTTGCTTATATTTGGCTATCTAATCCTTATTTGAAACCCAAAAGGCAGGCACTCCATTTTTAAAGTTGATGGGGAAAATGAAACACAAAGAAGTCAAATGCTTTGCCCAAGCTTCCATGTAAGTAAGTATCAGCGCTGCACTAAAATCCAAGTAGTTTAGCTTTAGAGTCTGTGCTTTCAACTACTCTTCCAAATGTCTCTTGAAGTGAACAAATCACCCTTTGTCACTTTCATCAACTTTGATAGAGGAATAGGTCTGTCAAAAAATGAATGCATGCAGAGATTTTTTATTCCAATCCTGTTAAATATAAATGTCATTTAAAAATGATTCTTAATGTGAAGTGTTTTGAATTTGTTCTGAATTTTTGATCACATGCCTTTGGGAAAACTAGTAGAAAAATAGATTAAAATGACCTGTGAACTTGGAAAAGCTATGTTCATGGCAAATTCACTGATGACATATCCTGATCATATATTAATAATTGCATATATTCTGGTCTTTCTGTACTTGAGAAATATTTTGGACCTGCATTACTTTGGAGCATTCTGATCCTTTGGTATGATTTTTTAATTGTCCTTTATTCCATTATTATTTTTTTTATATAATAGTTTATTTTTACATCTCAATTGTAATCCCATGGGTTTTCCATCACCTAGTCACCTGTGTGCCATCACTTTAGTCCTGTGCACTACCTCCCCCGTATTTGATCCCATCATTAATTATTAACAGAGTTTTAGCTACTAGTAAGCATTGTATTTTACACTGAGGTATATAAAGAAAAATAAAGACTCAGCTTTGAACAGACTTTGAAATTTAATTGGGAGAATGACTTCTCACCAAAGAAGAGAGGAGGTGTTTCAGTAAGAATGTGGCAAATAAGTGGTGTGATTAGGACAGACTTTGGAGACTTTATGGAGAAGGGCACCTTGAGTTTTGATATGAAGCTATAAAGAAAAAGTAGCATTTTGATAGGCAGAGAGAAGTTGGCCTGGGTTTGAGATCAGAAAGGTAGATAATGGAAAGAGAGTTGCAAAAAGACTCAATGTATTTAACGTAATCAGGTGGCTTTTTTTTTTCTTAGAAAAAAGGGCACATATGGGAAATAAATGAGAGATAAATTGACAAGGAGGGTTCTTAGAATCCTAAGTTAGCAATGAAGTAATCCCAGTTCCTTTACAATTTATAGACAGGTGAGCATATAAAGTTTGAAAGCCATATGGGTTGGTGATGGAGATTATATGTTTATGCCACTAACTAGACAGCTTTGTCGGAGAGATAATAGGGCACCATTAAAAGCTGACCTGTATGTACATCCTAACACATAGTGAAATGATTCCTTCTGGTATAATCTCTGGTTGATACACTCAGCCACTAAAATTTTTTTCAGTTGTATTTTACATTCAGTAAAATTTATTTCTTTTGGTGTGCAGTTCTTTGAGTATTGAAAAGTCTTGTACTCTCCCTAAGATATAGCATAGAGATGCATAACAGTTCTATCACCTCTGCCCCCAATTTCTCTGTACCCCTCTGTAGTCAACCTATCCCCTTGCCTCTAGTTCCTGGAAGCCTCTGATAAGTTTTCTGTCTTGGTGGATTTGATTTTTTCACAACGTCAGATGGATGGAATCATTTCACAAGTAATCTTTTGAGCCGTGCTTTCTTTTTTTTCCCTCAACAAACGTATTTGAAATTCATCCATGTTGTTCCATGTATCAGTTGTCATTCTTTCTGATTGCCTCAACTCCTTTTGATTTACCTCTGCCTGTTATGGTTTAATATCAGAGTTTAATTTCATGCCTCTTGCACCACTTGATATTTCCACTGGCTTCCCCCACCTCCCACCTCATAGTCTTCTCACCCCTCCTGACAACTCCCCTGTCTCTCTCCTCCTCTCCACAGACAAACTTTTAAAAGATTGCTACACTCACTGCCTCCCTCTATTTCCTCACCTCCTACATCCTCACTTCATGGCAATCTGGCCTCCACTCCCACCTCTCTAAGTTCAGTTGTTCTTGCCAAGAACACCTCCTTGTTGACGAGTCCTTCTCACTCTTTATCTGATTTGGCTTCGTAGCAGGATTTGGTAGCAATGACCATCCTCTTCTTTTTAAAAAATGGTTTCTTTGTTTTAGTAGCCTTTAATAACTCTTTCTTATCCCCCCTACCTGTTGCTTATTTTATATCTAAAACAAATACTTTCCATTCACTCATTTTGTAAGTCTCATGTTGCCCAGGTGAGAAGCTAATTCTCTACTCTTAGTTGTAGCTTCTCTCTGACCATGTTATGTTACTGTTAAATGTGTAAACTCTGTTCCAGATATTTTACAAGAGCTTTAGGTCACCCCCTTTGGGTGTCCTCAAGGTAATGGTATCAATGTCAAGACTCACTATCTCCTCTCTACCTACAGCCATATTCTCCTCCCCATCACCACCATCAACCCAAGTGTGCAACCTCAGAATTTCCTTTGGTTCATCTCTCCTTCTGCCCCTTAACATGCAGCTGAGTTCCATTGGTTCTACATTTTAAATATCTCCAGATATATTTTATTCCCAAAGTATCTATTCTCATCCAGACCACCACCTTCTCTTGCCTGTCTTAATATATTGATCTGTTATTTCCAATTTCACTTGGAATCTCCAGATAGCAACTAAAGCTATTGTCCCAAACAGAAATATGATCACATCATTTCCTTGTCCAAGACATTTTGATGGCTTTCTTAGAACCAAGCTCAGATTCTGTTATGTGCCACTTAAGGCCTGTCATGAGCTGAGCCTGTGTATCTTCATTCATCGTTTTCTTTGAGCATCGCTTGGTAGAAGATTCTGTGTTATTTGCTTGGGACCAACCGGAAAACAGATTGATAGCTCAGGTTTCATGGAGATTATGTAGATTATGATACCTAAATTTCATAGTAGGTTGGAAAATGATCAATGCTATTAGAAAAGGGAAGAGTGAAGAAAGCCAGCAGGAAGTGATAGAGATATTAGATATACAACTTGTGATTTTACTTAAGGGAGTCAAGACTGATGTCACTAAAAGGATGTCAGTAAGAAAGTGAATTTTGAAAGAAGTGAGGTAGTTCATTATAAAAATATTTAGGGAGAGCATCCTAGGCGAGGGCATAGCCTCTGCAAGGCCCTAAAGTGGGGACATACCCATGTTAGGGTGCATTTAGGGAACAGCCAGGAGCAGGGATCAGGGATTTCCATTTCTGTTGATTCTACATTTTAAATATCTTCCATCTAAGATGGACTCCTCCTTTGTTCCAAGGACATCTGTGTTACTATCATAGTTCTTTTCACTCTGAACAGTGGTTGTCAGTTTAAAGCTGTCTCTCTGCTTATCTTATTTAAAAGGTCAGGATCTGTATTTCTAACATCCTCCTAATACCTCGTTGGAAAGGGTGCTTGAGTAACTGTGCTGTTGCTGAACCTTCAGGTTTGTGAATGGCAGCCTCCTGAACAACTGAAGCAATTGCTCGATCTGGAGATGAGAGATGTTGGGGAACCACACCACAGACTGCTAGAGCTCTGCAAGGATGTCATACGTTACAGCGTCAAAACAAGTGAGCTTGATCCATGGTGAAGCTGAGTATGACAATGTGTATGGGAACATAGCAGCTTCAATATTTTAGAATATCAGACAGGACAATACAGTATCTAGCCACAGGATAGATTTTTTGTCAAGGCCAAAGATTAGTTGATAGAAAGACAGTAGTAAGTGATCATGTACAAATACTGTTCTGTCCTGGGCGATCCCCAACCTTCACTGTAACTCAGGATCATCTATTGTGAATGTTATCTATCATTTCTTTGTAGATCCAAGCACATGCTATTTTGACAAGAGAATTTGACTATAGATATCATGATACCTTTATATAATTATATGTTTTTATCATAGAATTAAGGAATTTTAAATCCTATTGGCTCAGAGTACACACACACAGACACATACACAAATGCTTGAGAGTCTGTACTACAAACAGTAATAAATTTATTTGAAGGAAAATGACTAACTTTTGGCATTTGTTAAACTACTAAATTATTGTGTCATATTTGACAAGATCAAAAACTAAGATCCTTTAAGGTTGTAGAAGAAAAAGATAAGATTTTGCTGTGGTAATTTCACAATAATGGCTGACCACTATAATCTTTAGAGTAAACAGTAACATGAGGTAAGTCTTGTGCTGAGCCATATTCCAACTATTAATATCCTATATAACCAGTGAGCAGCTTTCCAAAGTAGGAGAGTAACTTTCCAAATGTGTTTGTGATGTAAAGGTAATCTGGTGCTTAAGAATATACAGGCATTATGCTTTGTAAGTTTTGACACTGAACTAAATTTAGTGGAAAGAACATAATACAATCCTGAGTAAAAAATAATTGGTTTATATTCCCTTGGGAAAGTCTGGGTATGTATCAAAAACCCAGTTAGCATATCAAAAGCAGAGATACATATCTTATTATTATAGTGCATGTCAGAAGTATAGCATGACATTTAGTGCAGTAGACTTTTCAGTTTACTGGATATTTTCCATAATGTTACCATGGAAATCAATCATAAATTAGCATGGAACTAAAAAAAAAATCTTATTAAAATGACTTGTAGCAATGTCTGATTTCCTTTGCCAGATTAGAAGAAGTTTTCCATGTATTATTTGAAAAGACATTTTCTTTTGAGACTCTTTTTTTAATTCAAGCCCTGGTGTAAAAGGAAAAAAATAAAAACTAAAACTGAATGTAGGTTGTAATGAGAGGTCACTGACTAAAACAGTTCCCCAATACTCAAATTTAGAAATAGGCTTTCTACCACTTTGTTCTTAATCATGCTGGGCTTCCTATGATTGAGAATGTCAAGCCAGTTAGCCTGGTGTGTGGTGTGAATATTCTCACTGTATAAAGCCAAGAACCTTTATAAGACCTTTCATAAGAGGGGGGAAAATAGAAAGTTGGAACTGAGGTTGTTTGAGTCTTCACGGCAAGTGCCTTTGAAGTAAGTTGAATCAGAAAGTTTATGTAACTGACATGATGAGTCAACTCTTACTCCATCTACATAATGCCAATCGTTTATGGAAAATGGCCCAATCTGAAAAATGCCAGTAACCTGAACTGAACCCTGCTGATGAGTGAAATGTGTTTACAGTTGGTGAAGTTGCTGTGGAGATTTTCAAGAGATGATGGTAGTTGGTATTGATACTTGAGCAAAACAATGTTCAAATCATCCATGTCTCAGGAGTTCTCATTGGGTCTGGGTTATAGGAAAAAGGAGCAGGTAAATTAGGGTTCTTGAAAGGATGCTCAGGTTGCTTGGAAATATTGTTCAGTAGAAAGAACTATGAGATGGGCCTTCAACATCTGTTCTGCTGTACATGACTGGATTTTGAATGCTTAAAAAAAATGGCTGAGGTTTATTCACATTTAGTGGAGTGGGTAAGTTTTAAGTGTTAAGTATGACAAATTTGTACCTATCTGTATGTAAGTAACCATAACCCAGATGGAGGTATACCTCATTCCCAGTATACCAGAGGCTTCTTTAAGTTCTTCCCCAATCGTACCTCCCCATTACAGGTACCCAGAATTTAACATCTATCTCCACATATCAGCTGTGCCCAATATTAAATGTAACATAAGTGGAATCATGAGGTATATACTCTTGTGCCAGGCTGTTCCCTTCATCTGAAAGACTCATTTATGTAATTGCCTTATCAGTCTGTCTCCCCCCTCCTTATTGCTATAGATGATTGTTGGGTTTAAACTTACAGATCATCCAAGATTTTTCAACCAATTATATGCTGGACTTGATTATTATTCTCTGGTGGCCCGCTTTATGACAGAGGCATTAAACCCAAGTGTGTAAGTACCATTTTGCTGGAATTTTGCTATGTACATGAATTAGAGCGATTATTTGGATTAATATATTTCTATTTATTTTGATTTAATGATTTCATTTGTACACTGTCACTATAAATAATGAAATAACCTTATTTCACAGTAGTATTCAAAGAACTATTTGATGTGATAGTGTATTGTGGTCATTGTTACCTCCACTTCACAGATGGGAAAATTAATAAGCACCTTTTCATTCATTCCTACATGAAAAGTCATATCTAAGTAGTGCCAAGTTTTCAAGTGTGAGCATTTATTTGAGTTTGCAGTGTCTTCAAAATATCCAATTATATACCAAGTTGAAACATATGTGGGTCTGGAATTCCAGTATATATATGGAAAGCATAAATTTAGGACTTAGTCATGACTTGGTAGTAATTAAAATAATGGACATGGAAGACATAAAACTCAACCTTGATTGCTTAGAACCAAGATTGGAACCTTGAAAAAAAGCACACCAAAATGTAGGTCCCACTCCAGGACAGCTCAATCTGTATTTTTGGGGGTGTTTCCCAGGTATTGCTATATTTTTAGAGCTTAACAAGTGATTTTAATGAAAAGATACTGAGATCTCTCATTTTTTTGAAAACATGTTATGCCACTTCACTGTTACAAAAGACCTACATCCAGTATCTGTCTTCCTAACTCAAAAAAATTCAAGGGGAACTATCACTTTCACAACAAAAGGCAAAACCCCAAAACAGTGATAAGTGTTTTATAGCACCCATTTTCCAGGAACTGGCCTCCAAGCTAGAGCATGGCTTGCCAAGCTCCCTCCCTAGAAATTACTTCATACAAGCTGTGTCTTTATCAAGTTATTCCTTCTTTTACTATAGGTTGGTATTATTTTAGATGATATGTGCTATTTAGTGTAATTGGGTAGGTTATTTGGGGAATCTTAGAAGACTTTTTTTTTCATATAAATTAGTGGTGATTTCTTAACTTTACACAATTTCAAGCTAAAAATAGGTTTTATAGGAATGCTCTACTTTTAGATAGCGAAGGAAACCTGCATTTTAAATAAATAAAAAAAAAGACATAGGATATAAAGTGAAGTGAGACTAGACCTTAAAAGCATATATGTATTTAATGGTTAGGAGGAAGCAGGTCAGACCACATTGGAGAGCGAGAAGGGGACAATCAAGTGGGAAGGAGGAAGCCACGAGGAGAGTCACCCTAGTGTTACACGAAGTTGAAGATTTAATTTAGACAAAGACTGAGAATCACCACGTGGATGCCATTGGCAATTTCAAAGAGAAGTTTTAGTGGATGAGTGTGATGTGATAACAGGTTGCTATAGGAAGAGGAGTTGAGTGGTAGGTAAGTTAGAGATGACAGAAAAACTATACAATTTTGTGAGATGTCCCTTGAATTTTCTGGGTTTTCTCACCTCTCATCTGCATTCTTTTAGTAGAAATATTTAAAAGTTCTTGCATTTATTAAATTCCTGCAAAACTGAGTAATCATTAAAATGTACCAAACCATGAAAGCATTTTATGTTGTTCCCTCCTCCCTGGCCCGTTCACAGATTTACAATTCAACTAGTTTTCCAAGACAGGTGTAAAGTTAATTTTTTTTAAGAATGCAAATTATTTTGTCAATTACATTTATATAAACACATATAATTTTCTCATACTTAGGGTGTGTGTTTCATACATTGTTAAAGACAGAGTCTGTCTTGTTTGTAAAATGACACCCCTACAGAAAGCTTGGCACATGGGTATGGATACATACTAGGAGTTCTTTTTATGACCCCTTCCCAAAGAACTTCCTTACAGATAAAATAATTACTTTAAATTCAGTGACTTTACTCTGACTCTGTGCCCTTCGCTTTATATTTAGAGAATACATTTATTCAGACTTAATTTAATGTAGTTATCTAATAGATAAGGAGAGTATAGATATTCAGTTTCCCTCTTCCAGTTACCTGGACAGAGAAGAGTTTCCAACTTTACAAAGAAGGCTTGGTAACAATCACAGGTTGGGTTCTCCATGAAGCTGATCTTGATGGAGTTCAGTAAGCAGATGTTTATTAAAGAATATCCTTGAGATTAAGCATAAGTGTTGGGAGGAGAGGGAAATAGAAGGGTGCAAAGGTAGAAGTCAAACTACCATGCAGCCTTCATACTGTCATGGTTGGTCTAAAGGGGGACCATTGGTTGATCCATGGAGAGCTCTGAAACTCTGATGGTCCTGCTCAGTAGTTCTGAGCCGGGCCCAGAAGGTTATACCAGTCATCAGACAAGAGTGTGACTGTGGGTGTTGTGTATGAACTGTTGCGTGTCCCTGCAGCTCAGCCAGTGCCTGTACACTTGCAATGCTCTCTGACACGGTGTTCCAGCCTGGGGCAACACACCCTTCCTTATCTGGGATGTGGTTAGTGCTCTACAGTGATATTTTACAGAAGAGTTATCTCAGGAAGCCCCCCAATTGTACGAACACACGACTGTGGTGGGGAAGCCTTTGTTCAGGGTGGGTAGTCCCCACATCAATGATCAAGACCTGACTGTTAGGGTGCCCACAGAAGTGACTCAATAAATTCTGGTTATCACAAGGATGATTTGTCTTCAACCTGCACCCAAAACAGTGTGCACAGAAGCCAAAGAGTGAAATTTCCACTGTTCATGTATAATACAAAACCCTGATACATTGCCTTTGTCACTCCCAATAGAATTGAAGGTGCCCTCTATAGGCCTGCATGTGTTTATAGCTACTAGCTATGGACATTTTTAAACCACGATTGGAACCATCACTGATTATGTATTTCTCTATTTCCAATGGATACATTTCCAAAGACTACCTACACTCCTGTAGCCATTTGGTTTAAACTCTATGTGCATTTCTTGGGACACCAAAGGGATAACTGACTCTAGTCATAGAAGTGAAGTGTTTTTTATATCTATCTAGTTATACGTATGAGGTGTCCCCAGTGTTTCTGTTAGTGGAAGAAGCGGTTCTGAAGAAAATGATTGAATTTATTGGCTGGAAAGAAGGGGATGGAATATTTAACCCAGGTAAGTACGATTAGTTATTGCCATCTCCCTTTTCCTACAAGCATCTAAAATGTATTCTTGCCTAATGAGGAAGAACTCTGCAGATTTACTCATTAGAAAGTGTCGGTTGTTATAAATGCTACTGGTGAGAATCTAGCTTTTGCCTTTTTCCAGAGTTATCTTATTTTGCCTAATGCAAAGTAAATGCTCAACAAATGAGATAGCTACACGTTCAGATTTCTATCTAGTAAAAAAGAATTTATCTGCTGTTGGGATTTTGGGAAAGCTGCACTAAATTTTTCAAGTTCTTAAATCAATTTTACTTGAGAAGACTAAATCACATTTTGTTTATCCTACAGTGCTCGTTTACAGACAGGGATGAGCCTGTATTGTCGTTTTATTGATCCGGTGACAGACAAAAAAAAAAAATGTTAGTAACTATGAAGACTTGGCACTGACCCTAGTCCAGAGCTCATACACTGAAAATTTGAGGTTGGAAAAAACTGTGGAGCATGATCATAGACCAAAACTTCTCTCTTGGCTGAGACTGGAAATTGCGATTAAAGGAGATTAGGAAGAATATGATTAGAGCACTCGGAGTGTTGGCGGGCAGGGGCAAGGTGCAGTGTTCAGGTTGCTGTCTCGGGGTTTGTCACTAGCAAAGGGGCCCAGCCACACCTGCTTTCTGCTATAGTGGCACGTGGGGAGCTGTGACTTCGTGCTCCAAACCTGCTGTTTCACTTTTGTTTTTTTTCAGGTGGTTCAGTGTCCAACATGTATGCTATGCATTTAGCTAGATATAAATATTGTCCTGATATCAAGGAAAAGGGCCTGTCTGGGTTGCCAAGATTAATCCTTTTCACATCTGCAGAGGTAAAATATTATTTTTGATATTTGATATGGATTTTCTGGAAATGCATTATCTAAGAAGCCTTGTTTGCTTGAGGACACCTGATGTGCGTCTGGCTAACCTGTGTGGGACTAATATGACTAAGTAGAACATTATATTTCATTCCAAAGGGAAGTTGGGCAGGTTTGATGTTATAACCCCTCTTCCCTTAATTTTGTAGGTCACTTTATTTAAAAGGTACAACCTGTAACATTTTCTTTGAGAAAAGAGGACATTTTATTTGAAAGTGTTATCTTTCTGTGACTCTCCTTTGAGTCCCTTATTACGAGAACTTATATGGTTACTACTGACCTCGGCTGTGTCTTCTGTTCACATTTCCTAGTGCAGCTGTTTGCTTTCAATGGTTGACATGAAACCTTTTCAAGAGGAAAGAACTGTGCTTAGTGAACACACACACACACACTCACACAACTGCATGTTGCCACAATCCCCGTCTCGGTTTTCTTACTACTGAAGTAGGAGGTCTTACTGAGGATAAGTGATTGGCTTTGAGCTAGGCTGCCTGGATTCTGTTCCTGTCTCTACTACTTACTATCTGAGCAACCTTGGGTAAGTTAATTAACTTTGCTTAGCCTCAGTTTTCTGATTTGTAAGAATGGTTTGTAAGGTTCTATCAGTTAGCTCTTATCTCTAATACATTATCCCAGAACCCAGTGACATAGAACTATAAATACCTATAACTCTTGGCAAGTCTTGGGATAGCACCTATGGGCTCCCATAGTCTCTAGGGGTTGGCCGGCAAAGACTGATCTAGCAAGTGCTCTCTGCTCCGCACACCTTTCATCCTCCAGCAGGCTAATCCAGGGTGTTTCTTGTGGCAAATGGTACAGATGATACAGAACATGAAAGCACACCAGGCCTCTTGAGTCCTAGACACAGATCAGTATATTGGCATTTCTGTCTCAATTCCTTTGCAAATAGTTGGCTTTAGGTACCCAGATCCAAGAAATGAAAAAATAGCCTTCACCTCTTAGGTGACTCTCTTAAAGTCATCTGGCACAGGACATGGATTCACAGAGCAGCAAAAATGCTTCAATATTGGAGACACAGAGGCCAGTAGAGCAACCTAGCAGGTACATGAGCTTAGTTAGCAGTTGGTGATTATCCCACCCACCAGCTCTACTTGGTAGTTTGTAAAAATTGGATGGGTGAAAGCATGTAAAGTGGCATCTGGCATATACTAGATACCAAACATCAGATACTATTGTTCAGAGGAGAATGATCCAACTGTAAGAACGTAGGCAGGTAATGGATGGCATAAGTTAAGTATAGTATCGTCTGGACAAGATTCTTTGTGTTTTCACTTCAATTTCTGTGTGATGCCAGTGGTTGCCCCTCTCTATTCCACCTCTGCTTCTTACCCAGGCCCCTGGCAGGAAGAGTTTAGCTTCGGTACCTTATGTCATCATCCGTGGTCTTCTGTCAACCACATAAACCCCGTATTTTCAACTGAGTTTTCTTGTACTTCTTATTTTCTTTCAAGAGGAAAGTTAGTTTATGATTGAGAAAGGACAGAGTGTACTAAGAGGTCAACAGTGGGGGAAAACCTGGCCACCCCCATGTTTTCCTGCTGACCTTTCTTCTGTTGTGTTCAGCACTGAGTGCAAAGTGGGTGTCGGTGATGGGAGGGGCAGGGAGAGATCATCTAATCTGAGATTTTGAACTCAGCTTCCAGGCCCTTCTTTGTGAGTCATTTTTTCTGTAGCAAGAAAAGAATATTTGGGAATGTTGACTTCTGGGAGAAATGCTTGGTTGCTTGGGATTATTAGGGAATTAGAATTTCCCACTCTGGTTTCCAACTCTGGTTATTTCTGTTTGCGGAGCACTAGTGTACCTGAAATGCAAAGTCCCTTCCACATTCAAATTTCCAGTTCCATGCAGAGGAAGCTGAATAAATGAGGCCCCAGCTATCAACTCATTGCTCTTACTTTTTGCCTTTTCTGTTTTTCATTTGGTTTAAAAATTGCTAGAATCTTCTGGGTAATTAACCTGAAGACGAGAAGAAATTCTACAGAAGCCTGGGAAATATCAGAAACACAGGTGTAGTGGCAAATGGAGAAGGAAAAAAAATTAAATCCAGTGTGGTCATGAAACCAAAAATAAGTATTTTCTTTAAGTCTCCATGGAAATATATTGCAAAAGGAGGCGAAATATATGACTTGGCTAATTTACCTGCAGAAGATGCAGCCAGGAAGCCAAGCACGAGCCATGTGTCTTAGCTTGGTCAGGCTGCTATGACAAACACAGGAGACCAGATGGCTTAGACAGTAGACATTAATTTGTCACATTGTGGGGGCTGGGAAGTCCAAATTCAAGATGCTGGCAGATGTGGTATCTGGTGAGACTCCACTTTGAAATCCCTGTGTGCTCACATAGCCTTTCCCCTGTTCTTGCTTGTAGAATGAATAAGATCTATCTTTCTCTTCTTATAAGGCATTAGTTTTATGAGGGATTCCTCTGTTATGATCTAATCCTAATACTCACACATTAGGAATTAGGGATTTTAAGTATGCATTTTGAGAAAACACTGTTTCAGCCCATACCAATGTGGATTCCGCAAACATAGTCGACAATTTCAGACCCACTACAGCCTTGAATATATATTTTCACCCCTCCCTTCCAGCTTCCCTTTGTGGTTGCTTCTCTTTTCCTGCTCTGTCAAAGAGAGGCAGGCCATAGTATTTGCATTATTTCAATTAATATTTTGGTGACCTCCTTCACTACTTAATACAATGAATACTCCCTCATTAAGTTTAAGAAAAACAGAATTGGAGTAGTCTGTTTCCTAAATGGTCTGTAATCCCCAATTAAACTTTTTACCAATTCTTCTTTATTTTCCATCTTTGGCCCATGAAAGATTCCCACAATATTGTCCTTTTTGTTTGATTATGTGGTCCGGTTTTTCCTGTTTTGATTCTATCCTGGATTACCCAGGGTGATTTGACTTCACTTCTATCAAATTCAGACTATATATACCTACCTACCAAAGATGTTTTGATTGTAAATCACACTTCAAGTTTTGATTGTAAATCAGATGTTGATGGAGATAACAGCAGGGACCCTTGTACTGTCAATACATCAAGGTAGCCTCATTAGTGCTAAGTTAGGCGCAAACAGAAGGGGACATTTGGAAAAAAGTAATCAAAGTAATACATCTGTGGGTTGATTAGCACTTAGGATTTATAGAAGTCCTTGGTTTGTAAAGTCCTGAATAATCCAAGTCATTCTGGGAATCAGTATAAAACAAGGATTCTTGTCTGCCACTGTAAAGTAAGGGAAGAAAAGAAACTCACACCTTGAAGACCAGGACAGGATGTTCTTGCTTCTAGTAGCAGATAGAGGCTGGGATGATGGGGGGGGGGGGGGGTGAGGAGGAGGGGCAGCTATGTGAGGTGTGCTGGGTAAGTGTCTCAGGCTCCTTCTCTAAATGGTGCACCTTAGGTACCTCATTGACCTCACCCCACTTGAAACCTCCCACCTAAGTGAGCTCATCTAGGTTTGGATATAACTGGCAATATGATCCATATTATGGGCAAGCACATATGTCTTATGATGTCCTATTGAACATTGTGCAGTTAACTGGTATACCAGTTCTATCGCCTCAATGTATACCATTCACAAACTTTACGTTTTTCACACTGGAGCTAACTAGAGCATCAGACTCACCCATACTAGGAGTCCAGGTGTCCAGAACAGCATCCACGTGGAGGGGAGAGCAGTGGTTCATTGAGAAACTCAAGGTCACAGAAAAAAATCCTGCAGCAACCAGAAAGGGAAACTTCAGTACAGCCTGCCTTTTATGTAGACACTGCTGTTTTATCTCGACCGAAATGGCCCCACTGAGATCTTGGCGTCTTCTGTAGGCGATGAAGCCCAGGGGGAGGTTGGATCTTAGAAGGACTTCTCAGTTGCCAGGGATGGGAGCAGCACCGTTTGTTTCTAAATGCAGCTATTACTTCTGAACTGCAGACTTCCAGGTTTTTCCGTTCCTTGAAACTGCCCGGCATGTCTGAAGCATTGCCCTCCTTTTCCTTTCCATGGCTCCTGGCTGCTCTGATGCTTTCAGATGTTTAGACTTCAGTTTTGCAGTTCTTTTCTGTCCCTATCCATTTGAGGTTGACATTGGGCTATACTTTGCCCAAAGATACCCAAAATAGCGATACTAAAGCTGCTCTTATTCTAAGGACCAGTTTTATATTCGCTTGAGCCATTAGTTGGTGGCTTTTACTCTCTCAGGGCATAGCAGTCTGCTTTTCCTTTGAGACAGATGTCAGTGAGGTAGGGTTGTATTTATCACTATGAAATCAATAGCCGTTTGGTTGCCAGAACTGAAATCTCTGGTGAGAAATAATTCACCATTGCTACATCACCTTAGCTATGGTGGATTGATGTGGCTAGTAGAGAATTAATTACATTTTCCTGTACATGATTACTCTTCAGTATGCATACGCTCTGGTAACAACCTGAAATGAATGTCTCCTACAGGCATTTTGGACTTGTCTTGTTTGAAATTTGCAAATTAATTATTTAGTATGGTTTCATTTTTCCTGATGCTGTTACTTTTGCATTTGTTTTTTTCTCAGTTAGAAAAGAGCTCCCAATAAAACTCTCTGAAAAAAAAAAAGAAAAAAATTACCACATTTGAGGGAATATATCAAGTTAAGTATGAAGGCATGACTACTCTTTTAATGTATTCATACCTACAAATTAAATTACTAAGGTTTTTGGTACAATAATGTCCTTTAGCACCTTCATTTTTCTGGCATGAAAAAGAATTAATTGACCACCTGTCCACACTAATCTATAAAGAGCACTATCTCCAGTGTTTGAATACTAATTATTTCATAGGCTCTAGGTAGTATGGGGGGGTAGGCCCAATGACCTAAAGCACAGACTACTATTTGCCTACAGGAAATACACCAGAGCCACCTTTTAGCCAAAGTGGCATAAAGTGCTGTCTCTACATTGTTATTATCATTTTAGTCACTTTGCTGTGCGTCTAATTTGAGTCACATATTCAATATTAATCAAGATCACTCAAGTATCTGCTCAGCATTTATGACCCATTATTTGCTTTTGAAAATGAGTAAATTCTTCTGGGGGCTGTGATTGCAGTCTTTGAGAGTCTTGCTCAGCCCTTTGGGGGTTTGAATCAGCAGTGGACTAGATTCTGCTTCCATAAATACTGAGTCATCTTAGTAGCATCAAGAGAAATATATCTTAGTCTTATGGAAAATAGCCTCCAGTGACCAAGTTTGTTTCATATGCCAGCTCTTTACATATATTAAAGCATTTAATTCCATGAGAAGCAGATGGAGTAGACACTGGCATGCCCACTTTACATATTAGGAAATCAAGGCTTCAAGAACATATATAATTGGAAAACTGAGAAACAAATTCTAGTTTCCCTTACTTGAAAGGCAATACTCTCAATCACAATCTTAAGATACGCAAATAACTATTTTCTTTTCTTTTTTTGCAACAATACTGCAAAGATCCTGGCTCAGCCAGCTGACTAACATAGTAAGCACAGCTTTTTCATGCTATGCACTCATGTCTCTCTTTTCTCCCTCCCCTGTTCATTTAGTGTCATTACTCTATGAAGAAGGCAGCCTCCTTTCTTGGTATTGGGACTGAGAATATTCACTTTGTGGAAACAGATGGAAGGTAATGAGGACAGGATCCGGAAGCCTGGTGGGTGGAGGGGGAAATTCACTCTTTAAAAAGCAGTACTAATGTCTGTTCACTACCAAACATAACTAAATGTCTCAAATCTGTATCTCTTAGGGGTAAAATGATACCTGAGGAACTAGACAAACAAGTCTTGCAAGCTAAAAAAGAGGTAAGAGGGGAGAGAAAAATAAGCGGGAGAAAAAAAAAATAAGTGCCTGTGTGTGTGGGTATGAGAGGGAGCATGCCAGTAAGGGAAAGCCAACAGCCAGACCTGTGTGTGGGAGAGAGGAGAGAATATGGTGAAATTAAAATAGAGAAACTCATTTACAGATGTTCCATTTCCAGGTGCTTGGCTCTCCATGTTCTGTGGAGTTCCGTGGATATTCTCATTCCCAGGTGGCTGGACCTATTAAGACACTGACATCACCAGATTCAGGAGTCTTGCCTAAAATTAACCTTAAAAGATGAACCCCGCCTCTCCAGCAGGGCCCCAGCTTCCACTCTCCTGATTAACTCCTGACTGAGAATTCTGCAGGCCAAACCGGTTGCCTCTGGCTTGCATTCAGAGTGATTCCTGATTTCTTCATCAACCCATTTTTCCAGGTTGCTTCCACCCACTGCCCACCCATGACAGCCATCCATATGGGGTCTGGGTCTGGTACGTAAGCTCTGGCAGGGTGCCATCTCTTCCTTAGCTGCTAGGATCTGTTCATGTTGACATGTCCATTGCTGAGGAGGGCCTGGCCGACCGCTGTACTCCAGCCAAGGCTGACCTGACTCTCCTGCTCGGCAAGTGTGGTGCTATCTTGGTGTCAGTCTCTTGCTGCTTGGAACAAACTTGCCTACTGGATTGG